GAATTTCATTTTGATTTTACTGTATTCTTATCATGCTTCCTTCTATATCTATTTACATATACACAGAATCCATCCCTCCTCAAACTTTATCCACTTGATGAGCAATGAACTCTATTGCTTCCCGATCAATCTTTCTAGATTCGTATCTTCTCTACAAAAAAAAATGAATATATCAACATTTTTTATTACAAACCGCTTTTCTTATTTAAATATCGGAAAATCCAAAAAAAAAAAAAAAACAAAACAAAACAAATTATCTATGTGGAGTGTGGACGAATTCAAAGAACCAATATATGAAAACAGGTTCTTGCATGCACACAACCAGTATGAATAAATTTGAAATAAGAATTAAAAAAAATACACCGGAGAGAATTAACAAAAATATTGTTGTTCGAATCTTCATCCCCCAATTTGGATACATAAAGCTTTTTCCAACGTTATGACACAATCTCTATTCGTTTTTGAAATGCCTGCACACGGAAGACGTGTTGATAAACATACACATACATGTGGAAAACTCGGAAATTGAAAAGAAAATCGAGAAAGAATATATACGAAAGGAAATGTTAATGCCGACCAGGACCGTGACACTCTCTTGTGCGGGGACCGGGAACGATGACAACAATCCACCATTCTTGAAAAAACCTTAGAGAGAGAATATGATTCTTGAATCTATGATCGAGTAGTACAGGGAGAGGCAAATCCTATCATTTTATAGTCACAAAAAATTGACCATATATGAAATTAATATTCTGTAAATATTTTTATAATTAAAATTAAAATTAATTAAATATAAGGAAAAGGTACAAATAGGCCATTGAACTATTTGGGGGATATCAATTAAGCCACCGAACTCGAATAAGCTTCAAATTGATCCATGAACCTGCAAAAAAGTGCAATTAGCATTTTTAGTAGGTTACCAACAAGTTTTTTGATGATTAGGATGTCATGTGTATTTTTTATTTTTTATTTTATTATTCTTATTATTATTATCCTACTAAGTATTTGACCCAAAAAAAAAAATTAAGCATTATGACGAAATAATACCAGAGGTACGTAACTGAGTTAAACTATTATTATTATTTTTTTTAAAATAGACATAAATATTATTTAACTTTTGGTATTAGAGCGTGCTTATGAATTGATTAATTACTAAAATTAGGATTCATCATATTTGAGGATTTTTAATTATCTTAATTATAATAAAGCTATATGGTCTTGTGAAAATTAAATGTTGATATTAATGGTTAAATGTTGGTATTAACAACATTTAATTTTCACAAAACCATATGGTGTGTGTGTGTGTGTGTGTGTGTATATATATATATATTTATTTATTTACTTATTAATTTATGTTATTAATATTATTAATTTTATTTTTTTTATAATAAAGCTATATGATCTTGTGAAAATTAAATGTTGATATTAATGGTTAAATGTTGGTATTAACAACATTTAATTTTCACAAAACCATATGGTGTGTGTGTGTATATATATATATATATATATATATATATATATATATATATATATATATATATATATATATATATATATATATATATATATATATATATATATATATTTATTTATTTATGTTATTAATATTATTAATTATTATTATTATTAATAATATTAATTATTATTATTATTATTATTAATATTAATAACATAAATAAATAAATAAATAAATAAATATATATATATATATATATATATATATATATATATATATATATATATATATATATATATATATATATATGAATATGAATATGAATTGCAACTATGTTGATATTAGGTTATGTATTTTTTTAATAAATAATATTATTATAATGTTGTCTAATATTCATTCCGTGCATTGCATGAGTAGCATACTAGGAGTAGACACACTCAAGATTAAATATGTATACCGCTAACTGCGATTAATAATAGTAACTTTTTGTATCATACTATTTTCAATTATTAAATTAAATATTGTAATACAATATCATAATTATTTTGTCATATACTTAATAAAAATGTAATTTTAAACAAATATCATGTTTTCTTCTTCTGTACTTTAAATACCATTATTAAAAACATTTTTTACCTATTCTAACATTACAAACAAATCTTTAATATTTAGTCCATGCATCGCACGGGACAATACTAGTAAAGTTTAAATACGTATGTTTTCCAATTGCATATGTACTTACTGTGTACCGTGTACGTACCGTTTATATGATGATATCAATTGTATATGTCAATTGCTATATGTATACGTATTCATTCAACAATCATATATGTTTGTGTATGTACTACTGTTCAAATACATGAAAATTTGTAATCAATGGAAAATATATGCACACTGTATATGACTTGCGTACTACAATTCGTTGGAATCAAATTGTTCTCTGTCTTGAATATGCAATATATGTACTGTGCGTATTGATTAATATTAATATTATTAAACATAATCCTGTAGTCTTTCGTATTGTGGATAATTCTGGAAATACTAATAATAGTTTAATACTTTAACTTAGTTTTTTTTTTTTGGTCAAATGCTTAGAAGGATAATAATAATAATAATAAAATTAAAAGTAATAAAAATATACATGACATCCTAATCATCCCAAACTTGTTGGACACCTACTAAAAATGCTAATTGTACTTTTTTATAGGTTCATAGATCAATTTGGAGCTTATTCGAGTTCGATGGCTAAATTGCTATCCCCAAATAGTTCAATGACCTATTTGTACCTTTTTCCCTTAAATATATAATAGAAAAAAATAATAAACGGATATTGATTCTATATATATACTCTGTCTTAATTATGGCATTTCATAATTATGGTATTGCATAGTATTCACATATGCAATACCATAAATATGCAATATTATTACCAATTCAATTAATATATTAATATATTTTAATTAATTTTCATTAAATATTTGATTACCAAATAAAGTTCAATAATTATTTGATCAATAATTAAAATATTTAAGTAATTGAGAAAAAAAGTTTGGGCGGGAAAATGATGTAGGAGGATTTTATATATATATAGATTTTGGATCCGGTGAGGCTACCTTGTGTAGGTAAGGTCGTGAGGCTCAATCTTGTACGTTGATTTGTATCTTTTAACGCTCCAGATGTAATCTACCATATGTCCACGTGCGCTGATTTGTTTGTACCATTAGGGCATTGATGTCTTTTTGTTTATGTATTTATTAGGCTGTAGTAATTTATTAGCTGATTTTATGGGCTTGTACAGGGTTAATTATGGTCGAAATTGGATGTTACGATTTGTAGACTTGTTTTGACGTCTCCTCGGATTCTTCAATTTGCGTGTGGCTGTTCTTCTCCAATAGGCTTTTGAGGCGTCTTTTCGTTTCCTCTCGGCGCGTTTCTTCTACGTCCGGTCTCTTTAGCCGTGGTGGTTGCGTTGTTGTTCTTGCGTGTTTTTTTTTTTTTGTTCTGGTGTTGCATGTCGACAGGGACGGGACTAATGCCGACGGGGATTTTTTGTTCAGTTAGTAGGGGGTGGGAGTGGGTCTTTGCCAGGTATTAGGGGCTTTTCCAGCGTTGTTCGCGGTTTGTGTAGTATACTGCTTTGTTTTTTTTTTGTTTTTTTGTTTTTTTTGTTTTTTTTTCCCGACGGGGAATTGCATTTTCCAGGGCTGTGAGATCTTTGCATGGCCGCGATTTCCGCTGTTTTGGGGAGAGGGGGATGGGGGGGTCTTGTTGTTGGTGTTTGGCGGTGGGGTGAGTAGGGTTTCGGCAGTGAGTTGGTGATTGTATGTAATTTTTTGGCTCAATATGTTTGGGGTATGTTCGGCGTTGGGGTCCTGTGTGTTTTTTTTTTTTCTCAATTTTTTGCGTTTGGTGTGTTCGCCTTGGTTTTTTGTTTTTTTGTTTTTTTTTTAACACTTTATTTGAGGCGGGGTGGGAGGTGTGTGGGCTTGCCATGGTGCTTGATAGTGGTGTGTGCGTTTTATGATTTCGGTGAGTGCAGTTTACGTCATTGTTACATTTTGGTTGTTTGGGGTATTGTGAGGGGGTATTGCTGTGAATGTTGGGTGGGTGGTGGTGGGTTGTTGTGCTCCGGATGGTGTTGATGGGTGGGGGGGATGGTTTCGGTTCCGGATGTTTAGTGTTTTTTTTTACGACGTTATTTTAGTCGGGGTGGAGGGTGTGTGTGGTTGCTGGTGATGCTTGGTAGTGGTGTGTGCGTTTTATGATTTCGGCGAGTGCAATCTACGTCATTCTTTACATTTTGGTTGTTTGGGGTATTGTTGTGGGTGTGGGGTGGGTGGTGATGGGTTGTGGTGCTATGGATGGTGTTGATGGGTGGGGGGGATGGTTGCGGTTCTGGTTTTTTGTTTGTTTTTTATTTTTATTTTTTTGGTGGGTGGTGTGTGCATTTTATGATCTCGGCGTATGCAATCTAGGTATATAGATGACATGCTTTTTCCCACCAATAATGCATCAAGGTTAGCTTATATATATTTTTTCTGTTAGTTTATTCAGACTTCGAATATGAATTTTTTTTATAGATGATTGGCAATTTCGCATGATTTTTTAAATTTCCTTTGTTACATATGGAGTAGAATCTTATTGACTCTAGAACAGTAGGGATCACATGAGTTCAGTATACTTCAGAGAATGCTTATATGCAATATAATGGATTAAGGGGACCACTGTATTTCCCATTATGTAATGGCTTAGTATTGGTCTTGTGTTATTATTGGTCTAGTTATAAAGCCAAGATGGTCAAAGTTTGTCATCTTAAACTCGTATATTGAAACCAACCAACAACTCCCTCTCTCTCCCGCTCATATCTTACACCACTGTCCCTCAGTTTGCTATGTGGGAAAAAGTTGGTCATCTATTTTTTACTGTGTGCATTTCAATATTATTGTGTGTGCGAATTGTTATGGCATGTGCGAATTGTTATGGCATGTGCGAATTTCCTTGCAATTGTGTTCGTTTCATCTTTTATTTTTATTGGCTGGAAAAGTTATCTTTGTTTGATTGTTTTCCTTGTAGAGAACAGTTCAGAGGTGTTTGTATCCCTTAGCTTCCTGGTGTTGGATACCCCCACTGTGTTGGTATTTATACGTCCTACATCTTTGTTATGATTATTTTTTTTACTAATATCGTTTCAATATAAACTAGTCATCATTGTATTCATTTTGCATTTTGTTCATTGTATTTTTGCAGAAAGATGTGCTGTTTATTTTTTTTAGGATGCTAGTTTTCCAGAACTGTATGTGAATGTACTGCAGTTAATCCCTAGGGGAGTCCGCATGTCATGGCACGATGCCAAAAACAAGTTGGATTGTGGGGTTTTTGCAATGCATCACATGGAGACATACGTAGGCTAGTCGATTGCTTCTTGGGATTGCGGGCTCAGTAGGGGTGATGCACGTGCGTTGCTGGCCTTGCGTGTGCAGTATGTCTTTGAAATTCTAATGTTTCATAAAAACACACGCCTGGAAGTGATTGTCAACACTGCGGGTGGTGCTCGTTGAATGCAAGTTTTTGTAGTTGGTGGTCTTGGCCGCATTTACAACTTCTGCGTACATATTAGTTTCTACTTTTTTTAAAACCTTCTTGATTTTTCACCACGGTGCTCACATTTTATCTACTGGATGCAATAAGTATTTCCTTTACAATTTTAATATCCCATTATACAAGGTGCTAATATATTCTCATATTTTTGCACAAGCCAACATAAGCACATGCACACGCATGTATATTTAAATAAATTGTGCATGCATTTATCTCCCAGCCTACTGCACACACACACCGATAGCAATCCACACTACTGTCATAGTAACTGATGCAGCCCATGTCACCTATACAGACACGCAACCATTTTGTCAAAAAAATATAAAATACAAATACAAAGTTTTTGCACACACCCACATACGCTACTGCACATTTCATTCTCCGTTGAGAAACCAACCTTTACTCTTACCCCCATTTGCACACGCCTCGTCAATTCCACGCCTAATGCCATCATAGTCAGCTTATTCTTATCACACATTTTTTTGCACGCAACACATACGTCAAAGTAGAGGTTGTGGTGCATACATAGCGGATTCAAACACACGTCGTACCTATGTTACGTAATGCTGGTTATAAAGTTACAATTTCTCGTCTTGCTACCACATCTCACAATTCCCACACACACCCACATATCCCTTTAAGTAGTCATATCTCGTTTGAACTAAAACCGATTATCTCTAACACATGGAGTTGCACACACAAGCACTGTCAGTCGCACACACTTAACATACCAACTGCACAGACGTCTATACGGAGACCAATACAACCCCAGTTGAAATGCACATACATGTTGCCGTATTAGCCATTTCCTCCACCGGAAAATAGTACTCCTGCGATATCTTCCTACTCTCGACGTTTTAATCACAGCGTTTGACATAATATTAATGCAATCTACTACCATTAATATTACATATATTCACATGGTAAATATTCCTTTTAATTTGTAACCAAAAATAACAACAATATTAAAATTACTTCTTCACCCTTATGGTTAAAATACTACCTTAATTACATTACAATCTCTTTCAATCTCAGCCTTTTATTACTATTGATTTAATGGAGGAGATTGGATCTCATGATCTCATCTATATATATATATATATATATATATATATATATATATATATATATTCCACAATTTTGAACTGTTATCTTGGATATATTTAGTGCTCAGTATTTTTTTAAATAATAATTACATGTAAATATCGTCATTTACTGATGGATTTAATTACTTGGGGTGACCGGAATTACTAAACCCGATAAGTAACGCAAATAGAAAATGGATAAGAATATAGATAAAACAATGTCGTAAGGTTGCGGGGACTGTGTATTGTATTAAGATCGTAGTTATCAAGCTGTTACAAGGAGAATGTAATGCTATTACAAGTGGTAGTTTAGGACAAAGGATAGAACATGTCTTCGGACAAAGGAGGGGCCATTTATACATGCTACGGACCCCTAACTACCCGCCTAAATCAGGAGAGCGGTTGCCTCCCCGCTTTGACCACGCCCGGTTCGGAGACCGGGCAACATGGCTGAGGCCTTGTGCCGAGATCTCGCGCTGAGGCCTCATGTCGAGGCGGCCCGGGTCGAGCATGGAGCCTCAACCTCAGGGCCCCGGGCTTGCTTCGCCTTTCGGGGTCGGTTCGGGTCAATCTATAATATATCCATCATTTATATTGTTAAATGTTAGCAAATATAGTGAGAGTACTGTTTAATGTACGTTTCACTATTCGAGCTACTAACATTTACGGGAATATTTAATCAGTTCAAAATTAGAGCTAATGAGTCCCAAATGGGTTGGTCAAGTGGGTGGAGCATAATTCAATATTATCTAGTACCCCATGAGTTGTGGCTATGAGTTTACTCGCCACCCAAAAAAATATTAAAAAAAAAAACAAGAATAGATCAGAGCTAATGCCTTCTTATTATGTGAACATATAATTGTTTGTATAGGTAATACATAAATACCTAGTGAACTCGATTAACATACACTACAACAAATCAATTTTTTAAAGACATATATTTAGCGGCGGTTATATACAACCACTGTCGGTTATATACAACCGCTGTTAAATAAGTATTTTGCGACGGTTATAAGAACCGTCGCTAATTTTGTATTAAACTTAGAAAACATTAGTTTCTTTTTATTTTAAGTGTATTTTAAAATTTTTAGCGGCGTTCAAGAACCGCCTCTAAAACTTAACGAAATAAATGTGTATTTTAGTCGCTTTTGTGATTATTGTCGCTAAAAATCAACAAAACTATTTATTAGAAGTGTTTAAAACAAAAATGAGAGGTGATGAATTTATGTCTTCGAAGCAATGGCAGACAAAATCTCCAAGCAAGGAAGCAATCGACGAGCAAGGAGGTGTTTCGAAAGCTTTCAGCATGGATATGCCCTACCTAGAATTAGATCGGCGATCGGCGATTCGGGAGCCGCAGAGAGGAAGACAGTGACAGCGACGCCATCACCGGCGGCGACACCACTCGCGACAGTTCGCGGAAGCTATCCATCTCCACGGCCGCTTGCTCTTGGGATTTAAACGAAAGTATAATCCCTAATATTGAATATAGTTTTGCCTAGAAAGTAAATTGAATGCACTAATTTTGTTGCATGTTACCGTACCCCATAGATTAAGACCCTAATAATGAATATTTGATACAAAGAGGATCCACGAATTCTATGTCAATCCTGAAAGGATTGTTGCGATAAAAATTATTATAATTCACCCTTAATCGAATTTGAGATTTCAGAATGTTGAATCTGTTTCTGAATATGACCAGTACAATACAGTATTGTTTCACAAAGTGAAGCTCTATAAGGAAAACATTACTTGTACTCTAGTAGAAGTACATGAAAAAAGGCATACTAAGGGTGTGTTTGGTTCGCACATAGGAATCGGAATTGGAATCGGAATGGGTATCAAATACTTGGTAATGGTAATGGGTTTTGGTGAAAATATTTAACATGTTTGGTAGTAGGGTGGAATGAGAATGGTTACTAATAGTAGTGCTTGAGAATGAATAAGGGAATGAAACCCTTATTGTATTTGGGTATGGGTTTTTCAATTGATGGGGTATTCGAAACCCATAGTAGTGTTCTAAAAACCTATCAACCAAACAACAACAATCACTTTCATACCCATTCCTATGGGCAAAACCCACCAACCAAACACACCCTAAGTAGTATGAGTCCCATTATCTTCTATGATAGTTACATTGTGCTCCAGTAGTAGTACATGAAAAAATTATAATATGTATTCTGAGTGCCATTGATTTTTAAAAGACATCAAAAACACAGTTTTTGTGGGTGTTAGGCATCGGTTGAGTTAGCCGAGTTCAGCCCCTACTCGATTCGAGACGTGGTGATGCGACATACCATGGATGGATGTTGTTAAATGTTTAATGTCCACCTACTTATCATCAATTGGTTTTAAGTTGGGTATGAAAACTAGATAGCCAAAGAACTTTATGGTTAAGCGTGCTTGACTTACAATAGTCACAGAGTAAGCATAATGCAGTGCTGAGATCCATTGTTAGGAATAATTGTAAAATAATTTTGATGAGCCAAAGATTGTATTGTTAATGAGGAAATTTCAACTTTGGTCCTACGACTATAGAGGTCTTGCCAATGCGGCATTGCCGCTCAGAGGAGAACATGTTATTGTTCACAAATATGGCATCCAATTCCCTGTCGAACAGTTCCGCCGGGATACCGCCTTCAAACTCATTGAACCGGTGGTCTAGATATTTAAGGCTGGGCAACTGGAGAACCAGGGAGGGGAACTTGCCGGTGAACCGGTTGTTGCTGAGATCCAGCTCGAACAGGAGTTTCAGATTCAAGAAACTCTGGGGTAGGGTACCCTAGAACCTGTTGGAGTTGATGTGGAACACGGAAATGGCGTAGAGAAGCCCCAACTCATGCGGGAGAGTTCCAACGACATCTGCGTGGTTGATATCAATCCCGGCAACCGTGGCCTCCGACGGCTCGTCCGGCGCCCACCAACAGAACACGCCGGTGTAATTACACACGTCGGATCCAACCCAGTTCACTATTTTGCCTCATTTCACAGTAATATAATAATGAGCATTGGATTGGTCTATGTAAATGCAAACTTTTCTTGCTTTTGTTTTAGTAGCAAAAAATTATCACTACTCTCTATTCTGTTCAGGAACAGTATATGTTGTGGTATTGGGGACAGTTCAAGCGTTGGATTGGTATCTGCCCTTGGAGAGAAAGCTTGAATGGGATTGAAAAAAAGGGAGTAAAATGACTAAAATATCCCCATTAATTGATCAATTAAAATTTTTCGACGAAATTTGACCGGTAATAACCAGAGTGACCAAAATTGAAAAAAATTACATGGTTAAGATACTAAATTGCCACTTTTAAAAGTCAAGGACTGAAATTAACAAAACACTATAGTCGTAGGACCAAAATTAAAATTTCCTCTAATTTTAATTTTAGAAGTCTACTTAGAATTTTTGTATGTTCTCAATATTTAGTCTTGTATTTTATTTACTCCTTCTGGTCAACAAGTGACAACAGAATGAAGTGGAAGGAACATATTAAGTGAACCTCTGTGTCTCATTTTACTTACTGCTTTCATTTATTATTGCTTGCTTGCTGTGAACTAATCCATTTAGCTTCTATCATTTATCATCTAGGTTCGCTTTGTTACGAATTTATTTACACTTGTTTGGTTTACTTAACATATTGAGTGAACAATCTCCTTTAAAATATTGTTTAATCACATCTTGTGAAAAACCATCAATCTCCTTTAAAATATTGTTTAATCACATCTTGTGAAAAACCATCTTATATGAGTTTAGTGCTTATCTCACCTGCATGCATGTGATAATTTGCATACATATTATTTGAATCATATTAAGATACTTCATCATCTTGCATGTGATATCCCTCTATTCTTATGTAACTTTGAACTGCTAAATATTTTCCGCTGTGCACCAAAAGTTTGATTTATTACTTGGAGTTGAAATTACCTAAAAATTATTTAATTCTTCAATTTGTTTAAAAAGTCTGTTCACCACCCCTCCCCTCCCCCCACTCCACCCCCTCTAGACTTTTTACCACCCTATCGGGACCAACATCCATCAATTAGTATTAGAGCCGATGTCATGGATTCGAATCGATGACGAGGCGAAAGCCGAGTCCAATCCTAGATGGGATGTAGGCGTTGGTCGGGCTAAGTCCAATCCTGGGAGGGAGATTAGTGGCACGGAGGCTAAGGACCGAGTCAGGCATGCTGCATAACTGGGCTCGGTGTTCAAAGGTTGCGGCAGGTGCTGGGAGAGAGATTGTTGGGCATTGGGCGTCGGCTAGGTTGGCCGAGTTTAGCCCTTGCTCAATTCGATACGTGGCGTTGTGGCTTACAATTGAGGGATGTGGTTAAATGGTTAATGTCCACCACCTACTTATCACCAATTGGTTTTATGTTTGGATATGACAACTAGACAGCCAAAGAATTATGTGGTTAAATGTGCTTGACTTGATCCCTTGGGCAGTAAGCATAATGCAACGTTGAAATCCGATATGCAGTGTCTGGCATGAGATCCGAGATCCATCAGTGGGATACTCTTTGAGTTCTAAACCTCTTCCGTACTTGACAATGTGCAGTGTCTGGTCATGAGATCCGAGATCCATCAGTGGGAATATACTCTTTGAGTTCGAAATCTTCCCTACCAGACAATGTGTCTGGACATTGGACTATTTTTCTAATAAAGGTTTGGAATACCTCATATGAGGATTAATCTTTGGGTGACTTATGAATCATGAAAGAAGTTGAAATTATTAATTATTATAATATTTATATATATACTAGCATTTTGTACGCGTGATGCACGAAAATTTATGCCTAACATTAAAAAATTGATATATGTAAATAATTACAAATTGTAGTTCAAATTATATTTCGCAATTCCTTAAAGTAGTAAATTTTAATCATCGTATTTGAAAACTATAAGGATGAAAAAAATTTATATTTTGTTTATTAATAATGTAAACAATTTTGATATAATTTATACTTTATTTTTACACTAAATAAATAAAATATCTACTAATTTAGTACCCGGTCACATATATTGGTGCGTGTGTGTGCCTAACGATAGAATTATGAAATTTTAAGAATTAAATAATAACGGTGTTATAACAGTATAAGGGTATTTTAGTCTAACAAGAATGTAGTAGGGACAATTTTATCCATTACAATTGAGGTGTACAACATTTAATAAAAAATGTATACCTTTATTAACATACAAATGTAAACATTGATATAAATGTGCCTATAGTTTAATGGTCAAAGCTCTTGGTAAATATGATATAACCCAAAGATGAAAACGTTAAAGAAAGTTTTTGGTTATTCAACCGTTTGAAACAACAATTTGTTCCAAACACTTGAAAATACAAACATTGTAATTTACAATATTTTCACTTATCACTTTTTAGAATGATTTTCCCAAAACACGTCTATATTTAAAAAAAAAAAAATAATTAACTGTAGAGCCATTTCGACTCATTATATAACAAGAGCCAGTTTCGCTGGCTCATTGCTTGCCCATCAACGTATGGGTAAGCTTAATTTTTAAATTGGAGCATTAACGTTCCTTTTATAGGAGCCTCAAGGCTCTCATGCCACTTTTCTCACTGATGTGGGAAAAGTGGCAAAACTAAGGGGAGCCGAATGTTCGGCTCCCCATATGTTCTATTTTTTTTTAATTTTATTTCTTTTATTAAATTATTATTATTATTATTTTTTTATTTTTTAAAACAATTATTATTATTATTATTATTATTATTATTATATTATTATTATTATTATTTTTTTTTTTTTTTAAATATATGTATACCCTTGGGTCATTTTACAAATTAATCTAAATAGTTAATTTTTTCAAATATCTTTTTATCTACCGTTGATATAATTCACTGGTCAAATCCGCTAACGCTAACCGCTAATTGCTGATTGTCAAGCAATGGCATTGCGATGTAGTTTTCCACTTCAATTTGTTGTGTGATTTGAATACTCTCTTTGTCAACAAATCTCTCAAGTAGTTAATATGATTGGCTTTATTAATTTTTTTTTTAATTTTTTCATGGTATTAATAAAATACTTGTTAAATAAATATATAGTATTATTTTGTATTATAACTTTGATATTTAATTAAAAAATAGTGCACAAAAAAATAATAAACAATGAAGACGACATTGAAGTACAAGTAAGCAACTTTGTTGTGGCCAAAGACAACGCAGTGCATCAAGAAGCAGCTTCCCAGCAGCTCTATCAAATCTTGCAACAAGCACAAGAAAAGACTGCAGATGTGGTGGGGATTATCATCAAAGGGAAGATGTATATGATACAGAGGCTGTTTGATCATCAAACCCTATTCATACTTCACATTGAAAACCTTTCTTCTTTGCGAGATCGAATTTTTTCTTCATCCTTAATTCCAAATTTCGTGCTGCTTATGGAATCGAAACTGATATACCATCATATTTGGTTGGAGATGACGTGAAGATACAACTCAGCAGTTTTCTTCTGGCCAAAGACACATTACATGAAGAAGATGTAACGTTTATCCGTTACTATTATTATAACATTAGGATAAGTTATGATAATATTCAGTATTTGATATGTGGTGCAACACTAATAACCTAATAGCTAGACTACCATTATGATTAGGAGTATAGTTAGGATTTAGGAGACCTAAAGACAATCGGCCAGTGGTTATATAAGGTCACTAGTCCTCTCACTGCTCACACTACATACCTCATACACCATCTAGAGAGAGCTGAGTAAAGTGAGAGACAAAATAATCGTTATCTCTGCAGCAGTCCGGATCGCTCAACTGTAACAAGAAACTATGGCTGGAGGTTAGTTGATCCTATAATCACATATTATATGATGCATGTGATATTTTAGTCTTACAGTTGGTATCAGTCGCCATAAATAATCTCTGCCTAGTTCGTTTAATTACATATAATATTTGCATATGTTGTATACATATTTGTATATTTCAATTACATATGGTGAATATTCTTTGGTTCGCAATTAAATTGTCTGGACTGCTGGAAATTTTGGTTTATTCCGCATTAAGAAACAAACAAAAAAAAATATATTGGATAATTAATTTTGGTTTTTGCTGCTTCGCCGGAATTCCTTTTGGTTTTGGAATTCCGGTGGTGGCTATGGCTGGAGCCGGCGGCCGTTCCGGTGATGTAGACGGACGGACGGACCGTGACGCAAAAGTCTGCTCCTCTATTCGTCGCTGGTGTCCATGGTCTGTGCTGCTACTCCTGCGTGAAGAAGGAGATGATGAATGATGGTTTAGTTATTGGGCCAGGTTTGGCCCACCTGGGCTCATAATTAAAAAAAAATTATTATTATTTTTTATTGGGCTTGTTATGGTTTTGGGCTAAACCTGAATTGATATTTGGATTACATCAATTCATTCAGATTAACATCTTCATCATATTTGGACTTCTTCTAATTAAATTATCCAATTGAATTTTTTTTATTAAGTCTATTATTAAATTATTATTCAACTTTGAATAATTATTCAGTTTTTAATTTTTCAGTTGAATTTTAATTTAATAATGTTTTTCAGTTTAAATAGTATTAAGTGTTGCAATTTAATTGTGGAGTATTTGTGAGTAATATGCATAATCTGAGCATGCTATTTATCTCTTTATTGCAATAATTATTTGACTGTTATAATTATGCCTGTAGAAAAGCATGTTCATTAAGAAAAATTTAGAGCTTTTTAGGTCTGAATTATATGATATGCATGATTTAGTGCCTTTTAGGTGAATTAGTGACTTTCAGGTTAGATTATTCATATTATTACTCAATCTTCAGTTATTACTCCACTCGTGTTTTATAAAGTTCCTAAAGCACATAAAGTACATAAACAATTTGTAGTTTACCCTATTCAAAGCCTTATCCATAGGTGAAACTACACTTTAGATCTTTCAAACGATTTTACTTCAAAAATGAGAACACATGAATTAGGGAAGTTTCTTGGGGAGGAATACTAGTTCTATGGCCCTGGCTTAAAAGCCTTGTTGCTACTAGTCCCCTTGCGACGCTACTCTGTCTAAGGAGTTGGTTTTTAACCGAGCTTCGTCTCGACCAACTTTCCTAGGAGTATACCTAAGGATTGTCTATCATATTTTGGTTTAATCTGTTTGTTTATTAGGTTTTCTTGCTAATGTGATTATGTTCTTTGGTTAATTAAAGAGTAGCCACAGCATCTTTAATTTTTTCCAAAATTACATATTAAGTTTTACTCACATAAAGTTAATGCAAGAATATTGTAATTCACTCTGCGTGATATGGCAAAATTTAGCCCACAGGCAATTTTGTTATATTTGTAGGGTTAATTAGGATGAAATACCATGCTATGATCATAATTTGCCCACAGGGATTATGTATCGGCAAGTTTTGGTAGTTTTGTCATTAAGGGTGGAAAAATTAAAATCGCACTCATTCCGTTTCCACCATTCAGTTTTGGTAAATTCATTATGCATAAAAATTTAGCCCACAGGCAATTTTTATAGCATCCGAATTTATCTTTTGCATAATTTTACATTAGTAATATTATGTACTTCAGTATCTCTCTCTAATTTTGTGCCTCGAAAATATTCTAACCAAGCTTTCAATTTTTCTTTTTACAGTCACTCTTCCAATCACTCAATCAATAACAATTGATATTCCTATCCTTAATTATGATAATCATAAAGAGTGGAAAGACGCTGTTTTATTGAATTTAGGAATATTAGGGTTTGATTATGCTCTTCGCATTGAGAAGCCTGTTGAGCTTACTGCGCAAAGCACTGAGGAACAAAAAATGCTATACGAGCGATGGGCAACAGCCAATCGCTTAGGCGTATTCCTCATTAAGTCTAAAATTGCCAGAGAGATTCGTGGTCCCGTCGATGATATTGAGGAAATTGAGCCATTACTCAAGGCCATCGATGATCAATTTGTTGACGCGAACAAATCTCTGGCAAGTACCCTGATAATGCAGTTTATCAATATGCGTCTTTCCACTGTCAAGGGAACGCGGAAACACATCATACAGCTTAGGGACATTGCGGCTCAATTGAAGAAGTTGAAGATTATTCTTCCAGATGCCTTTGTGGTGCACTTTGCACTAAATACCCTATCTCAAGACTATAATGCATTTAAAATTTCCTATAATACACATAAGGATGAATGGTCTATCAATCAATTGATTACCATGTGTACTCAAGAGGAAACACGGCTTTTAACTGAGCTTGGGGAAAGTGCTTTAATGGCCACAACAAGGCCTAAAAGAATGTCTAGAAAGCCTAAGGGACTTACCATGGCTGCAAAGGGGAAACTAACCCCTAAAGCAGACATTAAGAAGATACAGAAGTGTTTCTTTTGCAAAAAGAAGGGACACATGAAGAAAGATTGTATCAAGTTTCAGAAATGGATGTCCCAAAAAGGTAACATTTCATCTTCTTTCGTTTGTTTCGAATCTAACGTGTCAGAAGTTAATACTAATTCCTGGTGGGTTGACTCTGGTTCAACAATCCACATTGCAAAATCTTTGCAGGATATGACAAAACTAAGACAGCCGATGGGAACTGAGTGTAGCATCTTCTCTGGAAACAAGATTGCGTCACCAGTAGAAGCTGTCGGAGTTTGCAGTTTAGTTTTGGACAATGGCTTTGTATTGACGTTAGAAAAGACTTTTTATGTTCCTAGTTTTTCTAGGAACTTAGTTTCAGTATCTAGACTTATACCCTTCGGATATTCTTTTGAATTTAATGCCAATGATTTCAAGTTATTTCGTTATTCTACTTGTGTTGGTACTGGTACAATGTCTGATGGTCTTTTCCGTCTTAAATTAAAGAATGATTCAGTTTACAATTCTTTACATGTTCAAAACGGCACCAAACGGTGTAGTATTAACGACAATTCCTAATGTTGTGGCATCGGAGATTATGTCATATCTCCCTTGAGCGTATTAAAAGGTTGGTAAAGGATGGAGTACTTTCTACTCTAGACTATACTTGTAACACCCCGTGTTACGGCCCCTAAAACCATTTAATTAATCAATCAATAGCCCAAGAGAAGGAATAAATCATAATGATTAATTAGGGAAAAAGGCCCACCATAGTCCATGGGCCCTCATATATAAACCCAACCCCTAAACCCAATCCTTAGTTCCAAAAGGAATAGAATTAGCGAGCCTATAATATTAGTTCCTAATTAGGACAACTAGATATATAAATAGGGGACTTAAGGGGCACCTAGAACTCCCCACAAGAATAACGCCCCACCACCCCGAAAGAGCTCCAAGAATCCCCGTAGAAGAAATCAAGAAAGCAAGAAAGCTTAAAGAAAGACCCTTCATAGCCAAGGAATTAATTAAGGCTAAGAGGTAACACATGTCTCAACAAAACCTATTTTCATAGCTATGATTCCCCATTAGGGTTTCCCCCATATTATTGTGATTGGCGAGATATGATGATAATTATTGATGTTTGATGTGATGATCCCATGAGGGATCTTGATAATCTTGATATTGGGAGATTCTTGATGATTATGGAATTCTTGATGATTATATAGAGTTCTTGATGATTATGTGTCGTTCTTGATAATTGTGTGATGCTCTTGATGTTTATGTGTTATTATTACCGAATCTTGTAATTAGAAGACGAACCGTATACTTGTTGATATAAAAGTGATTAGAACCCTAGGTTGTATCGTATGATCTTATTCTTGGATTATCGGGTGGGGAAATCGCATGTTTGGGTGTTGATTATATTAGAAAAGCATGATAGGTTATGTGCCGTCGTTTCTCGTATTTGATCCGTTAATTGTCTACGTGTTAATTATTAGTTGTGTTGTAAAGTGTCTAAGCATGGTTTCGGGTTCCACAAAGGTTCCCGGGACGTTATTATGTGAAAAGAGTCAGTGGGGGGTAGGTGGGGGGGTAGGGGACCCGCCACCTACCCACGGCCGAGAAAACACCGCCCGGCAGCGGGTAGCCGGCGGGCGGGCAGCTGCCCGCCGGCGACCCGCTGCCCGGAACAGTACACTCCGGCGGGCAGCTGGCGGGTGGCCCCCCACCCACTGGCTACCCGCTGGAAATTCCCCCCACCTTGGGATCCCGGCTTCCCCGTTTGATGTTTCCCCTTTCCCCGTGGTGTCCCAACGGACTCCGTTTATCGTGCCTATGTCTAGTTTGATGTTTCGGGTACCGTTCGTAGGTTTATGAGTCTATTGTATTGCATGCTAGTTGAATTGGTATCCCGTTGACCTAGGTGGAAGGAGTATGAACTCCTTAGGACTATTCTTAGTATGTGATGGATCACACATAGGTTTTGTTATACGTTTTCTCCCCTTTCCTAATGTGTAATGTGGGTTGCATGTGCTTGCTATGTGTTATGTGTGTGTTACCCCAATTCGGTTGCGATCGGATTGGTTATCCTAAGCTGCGGTTCAGAAGCTGGCTGCGGTCAGATTGATACTCTTGGGCTGCGGTCCACCGTTTGGTTGCGATCAAACGTTTCTATACGAGCTGCGGTTCGTCCTTTTTCTTGGCTGCGGTCAGATGACATCCTCTTGGGCTGCAGTCCACTGTTTGGTTGCGATCAAACACTATGATGAGCTGCGGTTCATCGGTCGGTTGCGATCGACCCCTCCGTGTTGCGATACGGGGCAGGGTGCTGCGGGGCCGTGTCAGAGCTATATGCGCTGACCCTCATGTATGGGCGTGCGATTGGTCCTGTGGCGCCAACAAAGTGTGTTATGTGTTGTGACATGGACGAGTTGTGATTACGAGTGTCTTGGGGGATGTGACTATGGGATTTATATTGGGAATTGTTCATGATGGGTTATGATCATTGTTATGCTTTGCCTTATCTGCCTTATCTGTTGTGAACTGCATATGCTCGTTATAACTGTCGTTTGTGTCTGGCCTTATCTGTCGAGTCATTCCCGGTTTTAAAGCTAGAGTTCGTAGGATATATCTTCATGCTCAAAATGGTTTCGTATATCTATATATATCTCTACATGTATTGTATTTCAACGCGTTGGAGTGGGTTACCAGCATCTCTCGTTGAACAGATATATTTGGCTTTCAGGCACAGAGGACTAGAGCATTGGAGCGCGCTAGAACTGAACGTAGAAGTAGATTAGTCTCCCTTTTCGGCCTGCGCGCCATATTATGCATTGTGTTTCAATGAATACTAGTTAGACAGCCTGTGCACCTGGGTTCTCTAGCCCAAGTGTGGCATAGCACCCCGTACACTTATGATACACTTTGGAATGTAATAAGATATTACCTCTATTATATAAACTTAAAATGTCTTGAAAATCTGGGGTGTTACAATACTGACTTTGAGACTTGCATTGACTGCATTAAGGGTAAGCAGACAAACAAGTCAAAGAAAGGTGCCAATAGAAGTTCAACGTTGTTGGAAATTATTCATACTGACATATGTTATCCTGATATGACAATACCTGGTCAGAAATATTTCATCACCTTCATTGATGACTTCTCAAGATTTTCCTATGTGTATTTACTTCATCATAAACATGAAGCATTGGATGCCTTTAAATCATTTAAAGCTGAAGTTGAAAACCAATGTAACAGGAAAATACACATAGTTAGGTCTGATAGGGGTGGTGAATACTATGGTAGATATACTGAGAATGGACAAGCACCTGGTCCCTTTGCTAAGTTTCTTCAAGAGCATGGGATTGTTGCCCAATACACCATGCCTGGTTCTCCGGACCAAAATGGTGTAGCTAAAAGAAGAAACCGGACCCTTCTGGATATGGTGCGGAGTATGCTCAGCAACTCTAAGCTTCCGAAGTCGTTGTGGGATGAAGCGCTTAAGACGGCAACGTATATATTAAACCGTGTTCCAACCAAGGCTGTCCCTAAGACATCGTTTGAGTTATTCAAAGGTTGGAAACCGAGTTTGCAACATATGCGTGTTTGGGGATGTCCGTCTGAGGTGAGGATATATAACCCACACGAGAAGAAACTTGACCCAAGGACGATTAGTGCTTTCTTTATTGGATATGCACAGTCCTCTAAGGGTTATAGGTTCTATTGTCCATCTCATACTACTAGGATAGTGGAATCAAGGAATGCTAAATTTCTTGAAGATGACTCGATTAGTGGGAGTGATCGGTTTAAGGACTTAGTTCCTTCCTTCGATCATACTGACTCTCGACCTTTTACGTCATCTGGTGGGGTTGTACTTATCCGCAGTGCTCCTTTAGTTCTGCCTGCAGATATACCACCTACCGTTGAGATTCCACAAACTGTTGAGGATCAGCCTTTGGAAGAACCAGTTCAGGACTTACAGCAACCGCCTGAACTAGATTTCGAACCAATGGTTGAACTAACTCAGGATATACAACAAGATTCTGAGCCGATACAGACTGAACCGATTCAAGAACTTCCACCAGTTCCTGAAGAGGTAGTTGCCCCGCAGCCTGTACAAGGTGATGAGGGTCCAACCTTAAGACGGTCTACTCGGATAAGGCGATCAGCAGTTCCTAGTTATTATGTTTCGTATCTACAAGAATCTGACATAGGGGCTGAAGATGATCCTGAAACATTCTCTCAAGCCACAAATTGTGCACAGTCTGACTTATGGTTAGAAGCCATGAAAGATGAAATGAATTCCATGAAGGACAATGGAGTTTGGGATCTTATTGAGTTGCCTAATGGGGCCAAGGCAATTGGCTGTAAATGGGTTTTTAAGACTAAAAGAAACTCATTAGGCAACATTGAGAGATACAAGGCCCGACTTGTTGCCAAGGGATTTACTCAAAAAGAAGGAATCGATTACAAGGAGACCTTTTCTCCTGTATCAAAGAAAGATTCACTTCGGGTCATTCTGGCATTAATTGCACATTTTAATCTTGAGTTGCAACAAATGGATGTGAAAACCGCTTTCCTAAATGGTGATCTAGAAGAGGAGGTTTATATGAAACAACCTGAAGGTTTCTCTTCTAGGGGTGGTGAGCATTTAGTATGTAAGCTTAAGAAATCCATATACGGTTTAAAACAAGCCTCCCATCAATGGTACATCAAGTTTGATGGGGTAATTTCTTCATTTGGTTTTGTTGAAAATCCCCCAGATAATTGTATATACCAAAAGGTGAGTGGGAGTAAAATTTGCTTCCTTGTTTTATATGTGGATGACATCTTACTTGCCACCAATGATAAGGGGATGCTTCGTGATGTGAAACAATTTCTTTCTAAGAACTTTGATATGAAGGATATGGGTGATGCCTCTTATGTTATTGGCATTAAAATTCAGAGAGATAGGTCCCGGGGTATATTGGGTTTATCTCAAGAAACCTATATAAACAAAGTTTTAGAGAGATTTCATATGCAAAATTGTTCACCAAACGCTGCTCCCATATCTAAGGGGGATAGATTCAGTTTGGACCAATGTCCGAAAAATGATTTGGAGAAGGAATCCATGGAGAACATCCCTTATGCTGTAGCAGTTGGATGTCTTGGATATATTCAAGTCTGTACGAGGCCGGATATTGCTTTTGCGGTTGGAATGCTAGGGCGTTACCAACACAATCCGGGGTTGGACCATTGGGGAGCTGTAAAGAAGGTTCTAAGGTATCTCAAAGGAACCAAAGGTTACAAGCTTGGGTTTAGGCAGACGGACAATTTAGATCTTGTCGGTTACTCAGACGCGGACTTCGCTGGCTGTGTTGATTCTCGAAAATCAACTTCTGGGTGCGTCTTCATTATGGCCGGTGGGGCTATCTCATGGAGAAGTGTTAAACAGTCCTTAATAGCTACTTCTACCATGGAAGCCGAGTTCGTTTCCTGTTTCGAGGCTACTTCACAGGGTGTTTGGCTAAAGAATTTTATCTCTGGGCTTAGAGTTATGGATTCTATATCTAAGCCATTGAAAGTCTACTGTGACAACTCAGCTGCAGTCTTCCTAGCTAAAAACGACAAAAGTGGGAGTCGAACTAAGCACATCGACATCAAGTTCTTAGCAATTAGGGAGCGTGTCAAAAATAAAGTTGTATTCATTGAACACATTCATACTGAGTTGATGCTAGCAGATCCCTTGACTAAAGGCATGCCACCATTTAAGTTCAAGGATTTGATTCAGAAAATGGGACTTTCGCCCAATTTGTAATTTGTATATATATACATTCAGTTTTAATAAAATTCTTTGGCATTCAGACGTTTTCTCAATTAAGTGTGTACACCTTCATTTGCTTTATATTGATGAGAAAATGTACTTCAGGGACTTGGAATAAACATAGGGTTTATTTCGTTGGGTTTTGTTTCCTAATTAAGTGCCCAATGGCAGTTTGCATTTGATCATAATGGATACTACTCGTGCTAATGAGAACATATCATTATGGTTGGTGTTTTTATGTTATTGAGTGGTAGTGCTTGCACCAAGTGGGAGAATGTAACGTTCATCCGTTACTATTATTATAACATTAGGATAAGTTATGATAATATTCAGTATTTGATATGTGGTGCAACACTAATAACCTAATAGTTAGACTACCATTATGAGTAGGAGTCTAGTTAGGGTTTAGGAGACCTAAAGACAATCAACCACAATGATGGCCAGTGGTTATATAAGGTCACTAGTCCTCTCACTGCTCACACTACATACCTCATACACCATCTAGAGAGAGCTGAGTAAAGTGAGAGACAAAATAATCGTTATCTCTGCAGCAGTCCAGATCGCTCAACCGTAACAAGAAACTATGGCTGGAGGTTAGTTGATCCTATAATCACATATTATATGATGCATGTGATATTTTAGTCTTACAGAAGAAGCTTTTCAGGAACTGTGTCAAACCTTGCAACAAGTAGAAGAAAAGAGGGTAGAGCTAGAGGACACACAGAAGACTTTTGAATGTTGTGATGATTTAACTCTTCTCTTGAGAAGATTAATAGATGATGATTATCTTAGGTCATCTTCGACCACACCCAGCTCATGGGTGCCTAACAACACCGTTCAAACACCACTAGAATCTCTCCATCAAAGTCTCTTTGCTATGCAAGAATTTGTACTGAAATCGAAGTTTGGTGGATCCGGAGCTGGAATATAATCCAAATCAGACACTTTGTACTCAAAGCTAAAGAAGACATCGAAAAACAATTTAGAAACTTTTGTGTGGCCAAAGAAGAGCACCACCTACCAAAAGAAGCTTCAGAACAACTCTTTCAAACCTTGCATCAAGTAACAAAAAACGCAGCACAGTTGTTGAGCACTATCCACAACACAAGAAGCAATGAAGCTGCTGATGATGATGAGGCCAATGATACTCAGTCTGTGTGCTATCCAAAGCTTGATGAGGGTAGAATAATGGTGGGTCGTCAAAATGACGTTAGTATGATAAAGAGTCGACTCTTCAGTAGCTTAAAAGGTGTAAAAGTAATCCCAATTATTGGGATGCCAGGCATAGGGAAGACTACTTTAGCAAGAAAAATCTTGGAAGATCCACCAGTTGCATTCAATTTCGAGGTACGAGGATGGGTTACAGTGACTCAAAATTACAATGAGAGCAAAGTGCAACGTGACCTTCTCCAGCCAATTTCACCAAACATGGAAAAACCACAGTTAAGGCATCTTGAACTTGACACTAGCTATGTTGTCAATCCTTCAAGCATGGAAAAAGAGAATTTGCAAACATTATCTTGGGTGGATCCAACTCATTGCAGAAACAGAGTGTATTCCAATTTTCCAAATATAAAAATATTGAAAATTGTCTATAAAGTAGACTTAGAGGCCAGCCAGATTAGTGGATATTCCAGCAATTGCTTCATTTTGGATAAGTTGGGCTATTTAGAACGGCTAAAGAGTCTAACAGTTTCAGTTTCGGTTGGGTGCATTGTAATCTTTCCCGAATGGTTTATTTTTCCTTCACAACTGAAGAAGTTGAAGTTGAGTGGTACTAATATTTCTGGGTGGGATTTAACAGTAATTGGGAGGTTGCAATGGCTTAAGGTACTAAAGCTGGAAAATGCGTTCCATAAAAATGTATGGGAAGTAGCTGAAGGAGGATTCTATAGATTAAGATTGTTGGTCCTTAAAGATAAAAAGCTCTAATGGTTGGAGGCTTACACAGATTCTTTCCCATGCCTTGAGCATCTAGTCTTAAGATGTTGTGAGTGTTTGGAAGAGATCCCTAGCAGTTTTGGAGATATATTCTACTTCAAGTCAATTGAAATGGATAGGTTTAGTCACCGCCCTTCCATTGTTGCTTCTGCTAGGATTATTCAAGAGAAGCTAAAGAAGAATTTTGGAAAAGAAAATTGAGGTTATTCTTAACAGCTTCATCATCTTCCAATGTCACTCTTAACAGCTTGCAGACTACAAAAAATTCAACATTTTCTTGGAAGAAGAAAATGGAACACAGATTGCTTGAACTAATTAAAAAACAGTACAACACATAATAGTTAAAACTATCTTTGCATACACTAAACCAACGACACGAATTTACAAATGCATTTAATAATTTCTTCCAATCAAATGATCTTGCAAGGCAATCAATGATTTCTAAATATAACTTTTAGACTAAAAGACTAACAACTTTTTAAGAATTTCCTTAGACACCCACGTTGATCCTGTAACTCCAGAATCTAGAGCCTTAGTACGTATATTACATGGCAATAAAACCTCCATGAGGCCATGAAAGAACTGGTCATAAGTTCGATTTTTGTAATGTTCTCTCGGTTAAGCCCGTTACAAAGGGTATTCCTAGTGTGGTTTACCTCGCACCTCTCTTCTGTGGTTTGCAAGCTATTACACGAGAATATGATTTACCTAGTGCTTACCCTCAAATAATGATTACAGGTTCACGAGTTTCTCTTATCACCCAAAAAACAAAACCTCCTTTAGTTCTCATCTTGATTTCTTGACTATAATAATAAAATTTTCGAATTATGTGCTTGACTATTTAAAAAGAAAAAAAATGAAAAAAAAAAGTAAGAAATACAATTCTAGCTAGTCATGCCATTGCCTTAATGGAGGGCAGGAAGTTTTCTTCTTTCATCCCTTTTTACATGGAAATCTCAGCTAAAACAATCTACAGCAGCTAGCTAGCTAGGTCTTGATTAAGAATGAATGAATTCTAACCTCAGAATTTGCCTTTTCAAATTTGCCAACCCCAACATCTTCTACACACTCTACTATATACCATCATTAATCAATTTTGATCTATGAAAAAATAATGCAAAATACAGAAAACAAATGAAGTTAAAAAAAAAAAAAATAGTAACAGATTTTGCAACGTTCAACATCTAATAACAAAGAATGATCAAACCAGAGCTTCTAACCTCAAAATTTGCTTTTCCAAAATTTCTATTTAGCTTCTCTTGAATATCCTTGGCAAAAGTGACAATGGAAGGGCGGCTGCACCTATCCAACTCAATTGACTTCAAGCAGAAAATTTCTCCAAAACTGCTCAGAATCTCTACCATAAAAACTAAATCCCCTAAATGTATTGGCACTCTTTGGAGGAATGGAGATGGAACGAATGCCAAAACTCTTAATAGCTTGAACGGTACCAAAATTTCAGAATTGTCTTGAAAGAAGAAAACTGAGCGAGGGTTGTTTAAACTAAACAACACATAATAGTCAAAACTATGTTTGCATAAACTAAACCAACGACACGAATTTGCGAATGCATTTAATGACCACCTTGGAAGTTGCTGAGTATTTACTGCATGTTACAACCATAGTGTTATTATTATTATTATTATTATTATTATTATTATTATTATTATTATTATTATTATTATTATAGTAGTGGAATAGCCACCTTCTTAGGTAGTTACATGCACTTAGGTAGTGGGTGGTCTTATATTATTATATATGTATAAATACTTACCTATGTAATTGAAGAAAGGGGGACTTTTGGAAATTCAGAATTTAGGCTTTCTATTAAGGAAAGATTGGGGGGAGAAGAAGCACTCCAGAAACACTTCAATTCATTTGTGTTCTTAAGTTCCTAAGCCTGTGACGCGATCCTAATATCTCGGTCCATTACATTTGGTATCAGAGCTAACGTCATGGGCGATCAGACATTGGCGGATGCCATTCAAAACCTCCGGACCACGGTCGAGGCTATGAGGGTTGATCAAGAGGCTATGAAGGCTGAGATTTCAAGCCAGCTTACCAGAATGTTTTTGGGGAGATTGCATTTTACAGGTTGTATACATTATCAACAGAATACCCTCAGATGGTTTGCAAGGCAGAATCCCTCATCAGGTCCTCTTTGGACACTCTCCTCAGTTTAGCCATCTTAGAGTTTTTGGCTGTTTAGCTTATGCAGCCAATCTCAAGGCTCATAAAACCAAATTTGCCCCAAGAGCTAGGAGGTGCATATTTCTGGGATATCCCATTGGTGTGAAGGGATACAAGGTGTATGATTTGCATACCAGAGAAGTCTTCTTATCAAGGGATGTTGTATTCTATGAAGAGAATTTTCCCTACCAGACACAATATTGCTCAACCAAACACACAAACAAATCTCCCTTGCTACATGTGAGATTCAGTGGCTGATTTTTCTACTACAGACACTGGAAGTGAGAATAGAAGAACCTGTTATACTGTATACTGATAGCATGTCAGCAATGGCTATTGCAGAAAATCCTGTCTTCCACGAGCGTACAAAGCACATCGAGATTGATTATCACCTCATTAGGGAGAAAATTCAAAAAGGCATCATCAAGTTACTCCATGTGTCCACTACTAACCATATTGCTGATGTTTTGACTAAACCTTTGCAGCCTTTACCCTTCCAGAAACTCATCTCCAAGCTAGGCCTCCATTCCATATACATCCCAGCTTGCGGGGGTATTAGAGGACTAACCTCCATGTTAGTTATATCAGTTAGCAAAGCAGTTAGGGAGTTAGTAGTCTCTCTTCTTGATGTATATAAAAGTCTGTGTCAGACTTGTCTAATCAGTTAGTTGAAAACAGTTTTGGATTCCTTTGCTTCAATGAAACAGTGACCTTCGTTCTTCCTTCCCTCTTTTCGTGATATTGACTTCTTCTATTGGTACCATAATTTTCTTAATGCCTTCAATCGTTCTTTGGCTGCTATGGTGTACATATAATGCTGTCATATACGATGAAGCCTCTTTCTCTCCTTGCCAATTGATTAAAATGGTGAAACGTGAGTTCCTGTTGCTTTCTATGGCGTCGTCGATGCGTTCAGATGGTGTCTAAGACAGGTTCCTTATTCGGGAAGGTTTTGTGGCATCTTTTGCTCACCCAAAGCGTCAAATTACGGCCTGGATTAAGTGGTCAAGGTCTCCTTCGGGTAGACTGAAGCTTACGTTCACTAGTGTTGGAGCTGCGGGTGGAGGCTGTCTCAGGGATTCAGCTGGTAATTTAGTTTTGCTGCGCTCTAGCTATCATATCCGCTAGATGCTTCGTCCGCTCTGGAAGCCGAAGTGTTAGCCCTTGAGTTTGCACTAAGTTGGTGTGAATCTGTTGCCAAATGTCCTGCAATGATTGAAGTTGATTCCTCTAATCTGGTTTGTTTTGTTAAATCTGATTTGCCTCATGGTCCATGGAAGGTTCGTAATGCGCGGTCCGTCATATTCAGAGTTACTTGGTTCTTCTTCACTGTCTCATATTTACCGCGAGGCGAACCGGGTGGCTAATACGCTAGTTGCATTTAGCATAAGTCGGCCTTACCCTTCTTTGTTCTTTGATTTTTTATCTTTGCCGTCTTCTGTGGAAGGTGTTTTTCTGTATGATTACAGGGGACTTGCTGCCCCTCGTTTGGTTAATCAATAAATTTGATTCTTTGCCCAGAATTTTATTTTATTTAATCCATCCATTATAATAAAGTAATCTATAATTTTTTAATGGAATAATCTTATTTAAAGAAAGGATGAGGCGTGAGTTGAGCTGCATTAAAGTTGAAAATTTAAAGATTCCATTCACATATAAATATAATTTTGCTGGTGAACTTCTTTGAACAAGCCAGCAAGTCAATAATTCTTACAAACTCTTCCATCTGGTCAATATAGAACTGTAGTACATCATATTCAGTCCCATTGCTTATGAGCTACAAAATGAACAAAATGGAATGAGATTAGATAAAGAAATTAATGGTAACAAATTTTGTAAAGAAATTCAATCAGCAACAAATAGTATAGAAGTTAAATAAATTAATTATCAGGAATGAATGGCATTGTAGCTTCTAACCTCAACTTGACTCTAAGCATGTTTGAGCTGCTTGGCAGAAGCAATGGAAGCTAGAGTTACACCGATCCAACTCAATATGCTTCAAATTGTGACCAACAGATCTAAATGGGATTTGTTCCGAACAATAACAAAATCTTACGATTAGACGCTCAAGACGTTGCAAAGTGTGTTTTTCATCATTCTTCAATTGCTTGAGTGTTTTTTTTTTTAATCCTAAGGAGCAGGAATCTTAATTTACTAAATTCACCTTTAATTTAGCCACTTCCCAGTTCCCACGCTCATCCCAATAAGGCATTTTCAAAGATTTGAAAGTTTTAGGAGTCACTTGTCTAATGTTGTGGAGAAATGTGAAGGACTGCCACATGTAATTGTTACAGCCACTGAGCGTTTATCTGAATGCAAACACAACATACAACATGAATTGAAAAAGAAATAGAGTTGTTAGGAATTCTAGATTATAGTGTACTCAAACCCATTTACAATCAGTTGTCAGAATATTTGAAAGTTTGCTTTTTATATCTTGAAATAATCTTTCCGAAGAGTAGTGAAATCGAAGTCAAAACGCTTCTTAGGTTATGAGTTGCAGAAGGATTTGTGAAGCCATCAAGGAATAAGGAGTTAGAAAACATTACTTATTGTTACTTAAAGGACCTCATTGATAGAAGTCTAGTCATGTGTTAATAAGCGGTCGGACTTTTGATGGCAAAATTAAGACTTGTAGGGTGCACAGTGTCATGCATAATATTTGTTTTGGAGAGGCTCAGAAAGAGGGAATATTATGTGCAGTAAATACTCAGCAATTCCCAAGGTGGCCATTAAATGCATTCGCAAATTCCTGTCAGTTAGTTTAGTTTATGCAAACATCGTTTTGACTATTATGTGTT